CACCCTTTGAGAAATACTCTAACATATTTTGTTGTAGATCAAAGTGCTTTCGAGGTACTTTGCCGTACTTTCAAGTACTTGATAGGTACTTTGACGTACTTTCAAGTACTTTAAATTACTTTTGTACTTTGATGTACTTTATATACTTGAAGTCCGCTGTTTTCCCCTTGCTGAAGAGATTGATATTTTAATATGCGCGCATTAATTATCAATAGTTACCATCATTTCCATATGGATAACATTATCAAAAATTGATTATTACAAAAATTAACATCATATTATATGTCAGGAAACTCCCCTTTAGGAATGTTTCTGTTTTGAGTATACCTTATGAATTTTTTCTTAACTTTATATTTTATAAAAATGTGCTGTCATGAATTTGTGACATCTATACATTAATTTATTGATAGGATTATTCATCTGAACTAATAAGATGTTATATGTTATTTTTTGTTCTATTTCTACTCATTTTGTTTATTTTAATTCTCTTTTCTAGTCATTGCTATGTCAGATAAATTCATTCCACATTATTTACGTGATACTGATAATATATCAACCGATCATGACATATATCAACAACAAAAATGGGCACGAACAGCAATCAAAGCAAAAGAAAATGTTGAATTACGACAAAAATTTCCACCATTTGTCGTACCAACAGCTATTTATAAAGTGGTCCATGTGAACAAATATACTTCAATGGAAGAAATGCACTTATTGGTCAATCATGTACAAGAATGTACTCAATTTACTACTGGTACAGAGCTATAAAATCAAATAATCAATTAGCATTAATACAAGTACAGACTATATCACCTCGACTACCATTATTAGTAATATTAATTGAATTACAACATCTTCCACCTAATAATCTACCTACGTATGTTAAAATTAAAGAATTTTTTATATTAGTATTTAGATCTGGAAATGAATTGTACTTGTAGGGTAATATGGACAAGGAACTTGATCCAACAAAGGATTATCATTTATTTAATTGACCAACATTAGCATCGATGATTGACATACAACTATATTTTTCGGAGTGATATGAGTGGGTACTGACTCATTGTAAGTCATGCCACCCGAATCATCATCATCATCATCATCCTGATGGTGTTAATTATGATAATGTTATTACACAAAATTATTCGTCATCAATGTGTGTTTGTCATGAACAAAGTCCATATCGTTCACATGAAAAATGGGCTCTTCAGAAGGCCTTAGTTTATGCTGCACACATGTTCATCGGCAAATCAAGTACGGTTAATAATTGGGCTGCAAGTTTAACATCAAATAATTCAACATTATCAATTGGTCGAAGAAAAAAAATGATTACATATGCTATATATGATTGTTTTTTAACAACGTATCTTATTAGACCAGTTTTAGAAAATTGGACATTCAAACAGTTAAAAAATACAAATATTACTGAATTATTTACGTCATTTAAATCATCACCACTTCCAGCAAATAATTCATCAAATAAAAAAATTTAATAAAATATCAATCCACAAAAATTATTTAATTTAAATGATGACGATTTAGAATCAATATCAGATGATGATGATGAAATTTATCTTAATCAACTTATTGGACGAGTTATGAATAAACAACCTGAATATGAATAAATTTCAAATGATGAACAAGAATTGAATGATAAATTATTGGTCAATCGTGTTAAATTAATTATTGCAGCAGATAATGAATTTATTATTGATAATTATGAAGAATGTAAACCAACCGAAGATAATGATAATGACCAAATTAAACCAGCTGAAGGTGTTGAAGAAAAACCAACAGCACCGAAACATAGATCAACTCATCAATAACGATCAAAGGAATCAAGACAATGTAGAAATCGAAAGAGAAATAATATATATCGAATGCATCGTTATTAACATTATATCATTCGTCCCATGTATCATAAATTTACTATGCCATTAGTGTGGAAAATTCTTAAACAACATGGCATCAAATATGTACACATGAAGGAGGTTGATGGAATATTAATCATTGGTGTGAAGGACGAGCTGATCAAACAGAAGCACCAAGAACAAATACCAGAAGATATGTTTGATCGAAAAAATTATCAAATTCATTGACGTCATCATCAACATCATAGTGAATAACAACAACAGAACAAATAGTAAAAAAAAAATTTTTTTGTTGTTATTTTATTATTTTATATATATTACTATTACATTTTTTTTGTATCTTCTCTCTCATCGTGACATCTCCTCTCATATTGCGATATATTTTTTTTTCTATATGATATTTTGAACATGTTCTTCCACTAACTGATATAGTTACATTAGTTTTCTTTCTCTCTCTCTCTCTCTCTCTCTTCTTTTGAAATTTTTTCTCTTTCTCTCGTTCACATCTTCATATATATACATAAAAGCTAAAAGTATTTTGTAACCAAAAAACTTTTCTTGTAAGGGGAAGGGTGTTAGGAACAACATCTTTCCTTGTGTTTTTTTCTTTCGTGCCACTTTGGTTCGTGGTCTTTCTTCTATTATTTTCTTCATCTGATATTTATATAAGTGTGTGTATAATCACTGTACAAGGAACATCTTTTGCTTAATAAATATAAAAGAAATTCAACATATTGTTGAATCGAACTCTAAGTGTGCATCATCACTTAACAAAAATCAGTATAACATTTAATTTTTTCTTTATTTAAACTGTACCAAACAATTGCAGCATTTGTAAAAAAAAATATGGAATAAGTTCAAGTCAATCATGAAAGGATAGTTTAAGTTCACAAAATTTTAAATCAATGTTGTGAAACCATTGTTGAGCATTTTCATTTTCGTTACCAGAAAAAAAACTACATGTTGACGAAGTAAATCTAATAGTGAAGATTGATCTGCATGATTAATTTCATGATGTACATCAAATTGATGAAGCTTATTATCAGCAATAGGTTTTAAAGATAAAGATGATCAATCATTAATCTTATAAGGAAAATTTTGCATTAAACTTTTTTAATATTCTTCTATTAAATCCGGACAATCTAAATTTTCTTGAGGCTTCGAAGTATTTTATTCTTCAGAATAATCTTTCCATGCAATTAAATATTCTTTTTCCCCATTGTGAAAACGATGATTAACAATACGGTCAATAATAAATATTTCACCTTCAGTAACACCTAATGTATGATGTATTTCTTCATTAACAACATTCATGATAAAAATCTCTTTTTTTATTATTTTTATGCCAAGAGTCACCAATTATCAAGGTGTACGTTTAGTTCAAGGGTGTTTTGAACTTGTTTTTATTGCAAGTTCACGACACACGCTTAACAATAATCAAGAAGAAGTGAAAAAAAAAGAAAAATAAGGATAAACAATACGTAAAGATGTAATATCCAATGAAAAAGAAATACATAAACATATACGTAGAGTATGAGAAATAATGAAAATGAAAAAGATGGAGAGCGATATCGAGAAGATGACGTATATGATCTTGTGTGTTAACACAGATCATAACAGAAATAAATCTCAACGACTGATATTTTCTTAATAAAATTTCATTCATCATCAAGAAAGGATAGAAGCAACATACTATTTCCTAAACATGTGTTGAAATCATGTACTTTAGTCATCTTATAGTGACGTGTTTTTGTTTCTGATTGATGGCAGATAGACGTAGATTTCAGTCGAAGTTGAAAGTGTACATACTTGTCTTTTGTAATGAACACAAGGTTGAATAACGCCACTATATTGAGGATGACTGCATTTGATATATAACTAATTCATATTGATAAATAAACTATGAGTGACATGTCTTTATTGATCGAATCTAATAAGAGTATTTTGAGTAGCGAAGGTTTATTTTAATTTATTGAAAAAGAAAAAGAAAAAGAAAAAAAACTAAAATACAAGATAATGTAGCGCGATGTATTCCTCACTAAAAATTCAATTTAAAAAAGTATATTAAAATTTAATGTTTCATATTCTTCTCTTCAGTCTTCGTCATCATCATCTTCAAGAAAATCAAGTAATTTGTATCGTTTGTTGACAGGTTCACCCTTTGCACATTTGCGAGCATACTCGATCATCTGTTTCAAAAATTCTTTCTGATTTTCTATTGGAGCCAACGACAATGCTGTAACAAGTTCTACACTTCTTGCAGCATCCTCGTCTGGTAGCTTACTAACATAACTCGCAATCAACGAACCAACCTGCTGGATGTCTGTGCTCTTGTCACGTCTTGCCAAACTTTTGTAATAATAATCATCCAGAAGTTCGTCAAATATATCTCTTCGTTTTTTTCCCATTGGTTTGTCTTTGAATTTTTCCAAAAGCTCCATAGCTTTGTAAGCAACTGCCTTTATACGATCATCATCGTTGGTCTCGAGGCATTGTTGACCTACAGCTATTGCTTTAGTGATTTGTTCAGCCTCAATATTATTAAGATATTTGTGTGCGGCTTCACCTGCATGTTTACCATGTAGACCTGGATCCCGTCTGTTGAAATACAATGTTCTACTTTCAACAATGTTGTTGCTGGAGACCAACATAACAATCAAACAGGCAATTATGTGAACTACCTTCTTCACATACATGGTTAATACTAACTTTCTTCTTTACAATACTTCAATACTTATACAGTTGCTGTGTATTATTGTTGGTCGTCTAATGATCCGTTACAACGATAAAGCCAATACATATCGAATAGAAAAAGTAATTAACGACGGCATCAATAAAGCATATATTATTGCCTAGGTATTATTTTTACATTGCCCACACACAATGAAAGAATAAAAGAGACAGAGAAGGCTCATCAAACAAAAACGACAATTCGAAACGTATTTTATTTCTTTAAATCATTCTATAGAGTATCAAATAATCGAAAAAAGCATAGTTATTATTAATATTGCATATATTTTTTTTACGCAGTAATATATATTGAATAAGAAACGTGATGAATGACGACAACACTGGTGTATATATTGTTCTCTAGATATTATTTTTACATTCCTCACAAAGAATGCAAGAATAAAAGCGACAGAGAAAGCTTGTCAAGCATGAAAGAGAATTTAAAATATGTATTACTGCGTAAAAAAAATATATGCAATATGAATAATAACTATCCTTTTTTCGATGATTTGATATTCTATAGATTGATTTAAAGAAATAAAATACGTTTCGAATTGTCCTTTTTGTTTGACGAGCCTTCTCTGTCTCTTTTATTCTTTCATTGTGTGTGGGCAATGTAAAAATAATACCTAGGCAATAATATATGCTTTATTGCAATTCTTTTAATTTGATAAGTCAACACAAATTTTTAATTTTAGGATAACTATATATTTTGTTAATGTATATATAATAAAGAAGAGAATAACGATAAATATAATAAATATTAATAGAATTTTTTTGTTTTGTTTTGTTTTGTTCTGTTTTTTTAAATTAATTTTATTATTTTTAAGAAAAGAGAACGATAGTAAGAAGAAGAAAAAAAAGAAGAAATAAGAGAAAAGACAAGGAGAAAAATAAATAATTAAATAGAGTATGAGGATAACGCGAGGCCTTTCGAATGTTTTCTTTTTCAAGAGATTTCTTATCGATGAGAAGCTAGCACAACACGAACAATTACCACGACGGTACACGTAATTCCATTAGTATACCGATCAACCAATCAGAAATTTTCTCAATGAAAACACCATTCTGGAGGTCACACCCATGGAAATGGCGCACACATAGCAACATACAGAACGATAGAATACACGAAAAAAACAAAAAAAATATTCCATCACAAAAAAACCTGAAAACGGTCCGATCCCATTGAAAAAAAAATCAAAATCTCATTCCAAAGAGAATTTAATTTTCTACAAGATGACATATTCGTCACGGAGAGAATCGATTTCGAACCAAGGTCCGAAAGAGAAAAAAGGATCTCACTCACATGCCCAAGACCCAAGGTTCCGATATTGTGATGGGCTCCTCTCTACTTAGCATCCATTGCAAAAAGACGATGAATATATCATTCCATAGAGAATTAAATTCTCTAAAACTTGATGTATTCACTATAGAGAGAATCGATTTCGAATAGGGCCTTGAGGCCAAAAAAAAAAGTCCCACTGGCATGTGTCATACGATCAGTTCACATATTCAGATCCATTGTAGTGAACTGAATTTGCATTGCCAAGAGAGAACTAGTATATCACTCCATAGAGAATCGAATTCTCTACAAGTTCATGTATTTTCTATAGACAGAATCGATTTTGAATAGGTTCTTTAGTCCAAAAAAAAA